TAAAAATAATGCCTTATTACATTAGATGTATCTGAAAAACCTTTAGAGAAATACTCTTTAAAGAGAATGAAATTGTGAAAATTTCACAGTAATAGTGACTACAAGCAAGAAAAGGAGTGTATAATTTTATGAATTTTTTATAAAGAATTCACGATTTTCATACTAAGTTTTGAGTGAAAATGAATAGGGCTAAAGCTGGGGCCAAAAATAATGCCAAGTAAATATCTCTTTGTTGGTGTTATTCATTGGTGTAATTATGAAAGTGCTTGGATAATTTTTAGGACTTTACTTTATAGTATTATTCATTGAGATAATGGGAGTGAGACTTCACTTTAAGGTATATATTATTCATTAGGACAATGAGATTGAGACAATTACCCTTACTTTTCCCAAAATTATTTTAATTCTATACAAATGTTTTATCCCACATCCAAAAATTGTCCTATTCTTAACTTCGGGACAATCATAGGAAAGCAGAATAATCTTAGAGCACTCATTTATTAAATATTTAATATATGTTAATTGTATTATAATATATAATATAACTTAATTACATGATATTATAAAATTTTGCTATAACATAAGATAACAAAATATTATATAATATTATCTAAATAACATTATTAAATATCATCGTTACATATTAGTTAATATATTTCATATATCATAGTATTAGTATTATATTATTGTAATATTTAATATATATTTTATTATTTAAAATAAAAAAATTATTGTACTATTTTTATGATATAAAGCATTGTATTATAATTTAGTATTTATGTATTTAATATAATAATCTATTGATTATATTATAATGTAATTTAATATGGAAATATATTCTATTATATAGCATATTTTAATTTACATAATAATTTTATAATTTCTATCATACCTTATTATATTAATTAATAGTTTTAAATATATTATCAATATCATGGTAGATATAATATTAAATAATATTTTATTGTAACAATAAAATTTATAATAATCAACTATATATTAAAATGTTATATTATATATATAATTGATATAATATAATATAATAATTAATAATTTTGAATATACTAATAGTATATTAGGGTTATTATAAATATAATATTTTAACAAGGAGCCATGCAATCAACTATTCCACTTAAATTATAGTAATTATTATATTATATAATATTATATTTTATTAATAATATAGTGTTTTAAATAATATTGTTGAATAAAACTAATATTATAATATTTATACATTACATTATCACCTATAATACTATGTTCTGATATATTAAGTTAAATATTGTGTTATTAAATTATTATATTAAATATATTATCCGATTACATCAAATATTATATAATATATCATATTATTTTAATATATTTAATTATATTAATTAATAACATTAAACACTGTTATAATTAATTAGTAATTATAGTAAAACATATTACATTTTACTATAAATTATATTATAATAGCATAATAAATAATATACTAAATCAATTGGATATATTAATTTAGAGATAAATAATATTATATTTTAATAAGATGTCACATCATCAATTATCCCACATAACTTATCAATTCAAAGCTTTAATTATCCTATTATCCCAACTTATCTCACTTTACTTACTCAAAATATCTTAAAGAGGTAAAATTATTCCATTAGAATAATCATCCTACTTATCCCCATACTTGTCCCACCCAATAAGCCCCCTAATTAGATGATAATATCAATTGGGCTGGTGTCCAGAGTTCAGCCCAATATATTTCACTGGCTCAAGAATAGGCCTTCAAGCTTAACTGTAAAAAGAAGAGGCTATTGGTCATATTATTCAAGATGAGGATTCTAGAATACATGCTTTCGTTAGTTGTTTATTATTATTATTATTATTATTATTACTACATGTTCCATTGGAAAATGTTTTATTTAGCTCTTAAAAGTATTCATTTTATCTTTCTAAAATATCTATGCTAAATATAGTAAACAACTTTATTTAGCTAATAACTATTGTTGACTCTATGTTATAATTCCGCTAACATATTAAATTATTGTTTAGTTCTCGAAGAACTCGATAGTCATGTAGAATGGAAGTATGAAATGCACCAATGCCAATCATTTCAGCCGGTAGTTCTAAGTGTTTTTTTAAAAGAGAGAAAAAGGAGGGCAGCTAGATGTCCCCTGCTCAAGAAAATATAGCGATAAGATTGACCTAACAAAAGCATGTTAAGGAGAGTAAGAGCACGAGTAATTATAAATAGGGGTTTTTATCTTTAGGCCCATTTGTTTACCTACATTTATCTTTAAACCCAAGTATTTTAAACTGTATCTTTAAGCCCAATTCACTTTTGGTATTTGTTTTTAAACCCAATTCTAAAATACAATCCTCTCATACGTGGGTCCCCCCTCTATATTTTTCCTAAATTCCAATCTTAACCTTCCAGTAAGTGGGCCCCCCTCCCACCCTCTCTCTTGCTGTAAATGGCGGGAAAGACTCCCCTTCTCTCCTCCTGTCTTCTCTATCTCTCTCATCCATTAATTCTCACCAACTTCATTCTCTCTCTCCTTCTTCATCTCCCACTTCATCTCCCATTCTCTCACTCCATTATTAGAAATGAAAGCTCTCTCCTAACCCATCAATTAATTCTCACCAACTTTCTTAGCATTTAAAGGTAAAATTTTTCAATTTACTCCACTACCAACTTTACAAATTATTATGATCATTTTATGCATGACAAGTATTTGATATGTTAGTTAAATGAGTTCATAAAATTTCACATTAATTCCACTTTATTATTTCACATTAGTTATTTCACATGATTATTTCACATTAATTAGTTACTTCACATTATTAATTCCATATTATTATTTCACATTAGTTAAATGAGTTCATATAATTTGGTAAAATGTTAGTTAAATAAGGTTTTGTAATTAACCACCCATTAATTCCACTTTATTATTTCACATTAGTTATTTCACATGATTATTTCACACTAATTTCTCATTATTATTTATGAACTCATAAAAATTAGTTAAAATTAGTTATAGCACGTATCACATACGTATAGCACGTTATGATGTAAGTATAGCATGTTAACCTATAAGTATAGCATGTTGTATCGTAAGTATAGCATGTTCTCGTGTAAGTATAGCACGTTATCATGTAAGTATAGCACGTTAACCTGTAAGTATAGCACATTATATTGTAAGTATAGCACGTTATATCATAAGTATAGCACATTAATTTGTATGTATAGCACGTTAACCTAGCTTTATCTTTAAACCCAAGTATTATTAGTTACATGATAACGTGCTATACTTACAGTATTTGATATGTTAGTTAAATGTTAGTTAAATGACGTTTTGTAATTAACCACCCATTATTTCACATGATTATTTCACACTAATTTACTCCACTGCCAACTTTACTATTTATTATGATCGTTTTATGCACGACAATTACTCCACTACCAACTTTACAATTTATTATGATCATTTTGTGCATGATTATTTCACAGTAATTTACTCACACTAATTTCATTATTATTATGAATTCATAAAAACTAGTTAAAAATTAGTTATAGCACGTATCACATATGTATAGCACGTTATCATGTAAGTATAGCACGTTAACCTGTAAGTATAGCATGTTATATCGTAAGTATAACATGTTCTCCTGTAAGTATAGCATGTTATACTGTAAATATAGCACGTTATATTGTAAGTATAACACGTTAACCTGTAAGTATAGCATGTTATACTGTAAGTATAGCACGTTATATTGTAAGTATAGCACGTTAACCTGTAAGTATAGCATGTTATACTGTAAGTATAGCACGTTAACCTGTAAGTATAGCACGTTAATCTGTAAGTATAGCACGTTATACTGTAAGTATAGCACGTTATATTGTAAGTATAGCACGTTATACTGTAAGTATAGCACGTTAACCTATAAGTATAGCACGTTAACATTTAAGTATAACACGTTAATCTGTAAGTATAGCACGTTATACTATAAGTATAGCATGTTAATCTGTAAGTATAGCACGTTATACTGTAAGTATAGCACGTTATACTGTAAGTATAGCACGTTATACTGTAAGTATAGCACGTTATACTGTAAGTATAGCACGTTATACTGTAAGTATAGCACGTTAACCTGTAAGTATAGCACGTTATCATGTAGCAGTATTTTAGTTGTATTGATTTTATGTGACTATATTTGATGAATTTTTTCTCTAAATTTGTTTATTTTTTGTGACAAATATAGATGGATGAAGAATTTTATTGCGCATTGACGGATTTTAGAGGAAACAATCACTTTTTAGAATTAAATGTCAACGGGAGTTACAAAGATTTGGCCGTTGCAGTGCAAAGCCTAATTGCTTGTAGTGCAAGCACGATACAGTTGACTTACAAAGTACCCCACACGCAAGAAATATATGTTCGTGTATGTGATGATGCTGATGTCTCGATAATGGTCAATGTACATCGAAGTTGCAAGGAGAATGTTGTTGTCATGAACGCTGAGATGAATCGAGACATATTATTTGGCATACAAGCTAACGATGTCCATATAAGGTAATTTACACTTTTGATATAGTTTCGTACTTTTAACATTATCACTTTCTTAACTCTTGTACAATTTTCTATGCAGTAATCCGTATATCCCCTCTAGTGATGATCATGTTTCTCATTCACAAAATCCATCGTATTCACAAAATATGTCGCGGGAAGTTGAGAGCTCTAATATGATTCCTATTGCATGGCACAATGCTATTAGAAGTGTTGGTCAAGAATTTGATGATGTTGAACATTGTCGGCGGAGTTTAAGTAATTACTCTATTGCACGAGGATTTAACTTTGAATTTGTAAAAAATGAACGCAAAAGGGTGACAGCAAAATGCAAGGCCGCAAACTGCGAATGGATGGTTCATTGCACCCGTCGTAGAGATAATGATCGATTCTATGTGAAAAAATATATAGTTCTCATAGTTGCTTAGGAGGAGGCATAGGAAAGGAAGGATATCAACGGGCATCTCGTAAGTGGAATGCTAATCAGCTCAAGACCATATTGAAGGAACAACCCACTTATCGCCCAATTGATTTTCAAAAGAAGCTTAAAATGGAATTTGGTTTGGACATCCCTTATCATAGAATTTGGTGGGGAAAAGAGCTAGCTCAACGTGAGTTGTATGGTGATACTAAATTTTCATATGACCAACTCCGATGGTATAAGGATAAAGTTATAGAAACTAATCCGGGATCAATTGTTCACCTAGAGCATGAGGATGGAAGATTTACACGAGTATTTGTGTCTTATTATGCTTGTTGGAAAGGGTTTATGGAGGGATGTAGACCAATATTGTTCTTGGATGGTACACATCTTTTTGATAGGTATGGTAGAGTTCAATCTAATCAAAAGTTGCATTAATGTACTACTTCATATATTTTATACTTTGTTTCATAATTGTTCTTTTCTTTTATAGGTATAAAGGAACCTTACTTGCCGCAACTGCTCTAAATGGAGATGGTGGTATGTTTCCCGTAGCAATTTGCATATGCGGGACGGAAAATGAGAGTAATTGGGAATGGTTTTTGGAATGCATTCGGGACATCCTCTTCAATGATGAAGATCCATATACTCCAGATGATGAACTGGTGTTAATCTCTGATAGGGACAAAGGACTTCAGAATTCCGTGAAGAAATGCTTTCCATGGTCACATCACTCTTATTGTATTCGTCATCTCTTGGCTAATTTTAAGAATAACTTATCGAAAAAAGGCATTACACCACCTTTACGAGATGAATGTGTGCAAATTATGAAGAGGGCCGCTTATGCATACACTTCTCGTTCCTATAACAATGAATGTAACGAGCTACGGCATAAATCAGAGATCGCCTATTGTGAAATGTTGAGGATGAGTCCAGAAAATTGGGCTAATTGTTATTTTCCTGGGAAGAGGTAAAATTTTATTTTTTTTTTTAAATTTTAAATGCAAACCTTCAAGATATATGTACCTGCTATACTTACTATTTATTGACATGCATGTAGATATGGATGGTTGACATCAAACGTAGCGGAGTCATTCAATGCTTGGATCAAAGAAGCTCGTTATTTGCCAATTACCCAAACAATTGATAACATTCGCAAGAAAATGATGAGGATGAGTTTTGAAAGGCGGGAGGCATCCCACAAGTGGACCACAACATTTGTTCCCACTGTGGAAGAGCACCTTATTCAGATTAATGAGCAATCACGTTGTCTTTCTGCAATTCCTTCTACTACCGGAAGGTACGAGGTGTATGATTTGCCCACCGTTGAAGTAGATTTGAATGAACGCACATGCACTTGTCATGAATGGCAAGTAGTCGGGCTACCTTGCAAACATGCGGCGACGGTTATTCGGCAGAATATGGACACCCTTTACTCCTATATTTCCCACTACTTTAGTGTGGAGACATACCGTAAATGCTACTCCTTTCCGATATACCCAATTCCTGATGATGACAAGCCATATATAGATGACGAAAATATGGTGATTCGGCCACCGAAAACTTCAATTCTTCGTGGAAGACCAAGGACGAAGCGCATTCCTTCGGGATTGAATCCGGGCAAAGAGTTAAGATGTAGTAGATGTCAACAATATGGGCACAACCGTAGAACATGTAGACAGCCTATTGCAGACTAGATATGGTCTACACAATACTTTTGGTTAGAAGATATGCTGTACTTTTGGATAGATATGCTATACTTTTGGATAGAAGATACGCTATACTTTTGGACAGAAAACATGCTATACTTTTGACGTGTAAGACAAGATATACTTTTGGATGTAAGACATGCTACACTTTTGGATGAATGAAAGACATGCTATACTTTTGTCATAATTTTGTATGTATCCTATGTGTTTGTAATCAATGGAAGACATGCTATACTTTTCCATATAACGTGCTATACTTACGATTAACATGTTGTACTCTCAGGTTAATGTGCTATACCTACAGGTTAACATGCTATACTTACAGGTTAACGAGCTATACTTACAGGTTAACGTGCTATACTTACTGGTTAACGTGCTATACTTACAGGTTAACGTGCTATACTTACTGGTTAACGTGCTATACTTACAGGTTAACGTGCTATACTTACTGGTTAACGTGCTATACTTACAGGTTAACGTGCTATACTTACTGGTTAACGTGCTATACTTACAGGTTAACGTGCTATACTTACTGGTTAACGTGCTATACTTACAGGTTAACGTGCTATACTTACTGGTTAACGTGCTATACTTACAGGTTAACGTGCTATACTTACTGGTTAACGTGCTATACTTACAGGTTAACGTGCTATACTTACTGGTTAACGTGCTATACTTACAGGTTACTCTAATTAGCACGAGGATTTAACTTGAATTGTAAAAAAATGACACGCAAAAGGGGACAGCAAATGCAGAAGCCGAAACTGCGAATGGATGGTTTTCATTGACCGTTTTCGTTAGAGGATAAATGATCGATTCTAGTGAAAACTACTATAGGTTCGATCCCATCTGCTTAACCTGAAAAAAAAATGGGAATAGAAGGTAGGACCCACACATACGGAGTTTCCTCCTAGATGAGAGTTAGCGATATAACTCGAATATCGGTCCGGAGACCCCCCGTGCCTTCCCAAATTCCCCACGCATCTCCAAAAAAAATTATCACAAAGATAATAGGGAATCTCGTGGGGATTATAAACGTTACAGATGTATTTTGTACAACACGCTCCGAGATCCAAAGGGTTTACGACAAATTAAAAATTAGGGCTTTTTGTCTTTAGGTCCAATAGTTTACCTCCCTTTATTTTTAAACCCAAGTAGTATTAGTTGTATCTCTAAGTCCAAATTTCTTTTTGTATTTGTCTTTAAACCCAAATCCAAAATACAATACTTTCAGCAGTGGGTCCCCCCATATATTTTTCTTAAATTCCGGTTATACCCTCCCACTTATAGAATTCATTTAAGTGGGTCCCCCTTAAATAAAATAAACGAAATGGAGAGAGAGGGGGGAAACTGGCGGTAAATTTCCCCCCTCCATTCTCTCTCCGTCCTCTCTCTGCCCCCCTCTTCTTCTCCCTTTCTCTCACTCCATTAATAGAACTCAACACTCTCTCCTATAACCCATCATTTAATCACTCTCTCCTACAACCCATCAATTAATTCTCACCAACTTTCTGGGCATTTGAAGGTAGAAATTTGCAATTTACTCAACTACCAAGTTGTTAGCATTAATTTCTCATTTTAACCATGACAATTATTTGATAAGTTAGTTAAATGAGTTCATAAAAAAATTTTAATTCGTTATTTTTAGTAAAATGTTAGATAACTGAGGTTTTGTAATTAACCACCCATTAATTTCACATTAGTTATTTCACATAATTATTTTGCACTTCTTATTTCACATTATTATTTCACATAATTAGTTATTTCACATAATGTTATTTCACATAATTATTTTTAGTAAAATGTTATTGTTATGAATTCATAACAATTAGTTAAATATTAGTTAAATTTGTTATAATTGATGAAATTTTTGTTAAATTTGATCTTAGTATAGAATGATAACATGTAAGTATAGCATGAATTACCAGACTTATAAGTATAGCATATTAATATAAGTAGAGCATGTTATACTGTAAGTATAGCACATTAATACTGTAAGTATAGCACATTATACTGTAAGTATAGCACATTAACCTGTAAGTATAACATGTTATATTGTAAGTATAGCACGTTATCATGTAAGTATAGCATGTTATATTGTAAGTATAACACGTTATCATGAAAGTATAACACGTTATCATGTAAGTATAGCACATTAACCTGTAAGTATAGCACGTTATATTGTAAGTATGGCACGTTAACCTGAAAGTATAGCACGTTATATTGTAAGTATAACACGTTAACCTGAAAGTATAGCACGTTAACCTATATTTAAATGTTAGTTAAATTTGTATATAATTGATTGATGATATTTTAGTTAAATTTGATCTTAGTGTAGAATGATAACATGTAAGTATAGCATGAAATACAAGACTTGTAAGTATAGTATGTTAATCTGAAAGTATATCACGTTATACTGTTAGTATAGCATGTTATACTGTAAGTATAGCACATTATACTGTAAGTATAGCACGTTATACTGTAAGTATAGCACATTAACTTGTAAGTATAGCATGTTAACCTGTAAGTATAGCACGTTAACCTGAAAGTATAGCACGTTAATCTGTAAGTATAACACGTTATCATGTAAGTATAACACGTTAACATACAAGGATAGCACGTTATCATGTAGCGGTATTTTAGCTGTATTGATTTTATGTGTCTATCTTTGATGAAATTTTTCTCTAAATTTGTTTATTTTTGGTAACAAATATAGATGGATGAAGAATTGTATTGTGCATTGACGGATTTTAGAGGAAACAATCACTTTTTAGAATTAAATGTCAACGGGAGTTACAAAGATTTGGCCGTTGCAGTGCAAAGCCTAATTGCTTGTAGTGCAAGCACGATACAGTTGACTTACAAAGTACCCCACACGCAAGAAATATATGTTCGTGTATGTGATGATGCTGATGTCTCGATAATGGTCAATGTACATCGAAGTTGCAAGGAGAATGTTGTTGTCATGAACGCTGAGATGAATCGAGACATATTATTTGGCATACAAGCTAACGATGTCCATATAAGGTAATTTACACTTTTGATATAGTTTCGTACTTTTAACATTATCACTTTCTTAACTCTTGTACAATTTTCTATGCAGTAATCCGTATATCCCCTCTAGTGACGAACATGTGTCTCGTTCACAAAATCCATCGTATTCACAAAATATGTCGCGGGAAGTTGAGAGCTCTAATATGATTCCTATTGCATGGCACAATGCTATTAGAAGTGTTGGTCAAGAATTTGATGATGTTGAACATTGTCGGCGAAGTTTAAGCAATTATTCTATTGCACGAGGATTTAACTTTGAATTTGTAAAAAATGAACGCAAAAGGGTGACAGCAAAATGCAAGGCCACAAACTGTGAATGGATGGTTCATTGCACCCGTCGTAGAGATAGTGATCGATTCTATGTGAAAAAAAATATGTAATTCTCATAGTTCTTGGGAGGAGGCATAGGAAAGGAAGGATATGATCAATTGTTCACTTAGAGCATGAAGACGGAAGATTTACACGAGTATTTGTGTCTTATTATGCTTGTTGGAAGGGGTTTGCGGAGGGATGTAGGCCAATATTGTTCTTGGATGGTACACATCTTTTTGATAGGTATGGTAGAGTTCAATCTAATCAAAACTTGCATTAATGTACTACTTCATATTATACTTTGTTTCATGATTGTTCTTTTCTTTTTTAGGTATAAAGGAACCTTACTTGCCGCAACTGCTCTAAACGGAGATGGAGGTATGTTTCCCGTAGCAATTTGCATATGCGGGACGGAGAATGAGAGTAATTGGGAATGGTTTCTGGAATGCATTCGAGACATTCTCTTCAATGATGAAGATCCATATACTCCAGATGATGAACTGGTGTTAATCTCTGATAGGGACAAAGGACTTCATTATACTTTGTTTCATGATTGTTCTTTTCTTTTATAGGTATAAAGGAACCTTACTTGCCGCAACTGCTCTAAATGGAGATGGTGGTATGTTTCCCGTAGCAATTTGCATATGCGGGACGGAGAATGAGAGTAATTGGGAATGGTTTCTGGAATGCATTCGAGACATTCTCTTCAATGATGAAGATCCATATACTCCAGATGATGAACTGGTGTTAATCTCTGATAGGGACAAAGGACTTCAGAATTCCGTGAAGAAATGCTTTCCATGGTCACATCACTCTTATTGTATTCGTCATCTTTTGGCTAATTTTAAGAATAACCTATCGAAAAAAGGTATTATACCACCTTTACGAGATGAATGTGTGCAAATTATGAAGAGGGCCGCTTATGCATACACTTCTCGTTCCTATAACAATGAATGTAACGAGCTACGGCATAAATCAGAGATCGCCTATTGTGAAATGTTGAGGATGAGTCCAGAAAATTGGGCTAATTGTTATTTTCCTGGGAAGAGGTTGAAATTTAAATTTATGCAGAATTTTAAATGCAAATTTTTGAGATATATGTTCCTGCTATACTTACTATTTATTGACATGCATGTAGATATGGATGGTTGACATCAAACGTGGCGGAGTCATTCAATTCTTGGATCAAAGAAGCTCGTTATTTGCCAATTACCCAAACAATTGATAATATTCGCAAGAAAATGATGAGGATGGGTTTTGAAAGGCGGGAGGCATCCCACAAGTGGACCACATCATTTGTTCCTACTGTGGAAGAACACCTTATTCATATCAATGAGCAATCACGTTGTCTTTCTGCAATTCCTTCTACTACAGGAAGGTACGAGGTGTATGATTTCCCCACCGTTGAAGTAAACTTGAATGAACGCACATGCGCTTGTCGTGAATGGCAAGTTGTCGGGCTACCTTACAAACATGCTGCGACGGTTATTCGACAGAATATGGACACCCTTTACTCCTATATTTCCCACTACTTTAGTGTGGAGACATACCGCAAATGCTACTCCTTTCCGATATACCCAATTCCTGACGATGACAAGCCATGTATAGATGATGAAAATATGGTGATTCGGCCACCAACAACATCAATTCTTCGTGGAAGACCAAGGACAAAGCGCATTCCTTCGGGATTGAATCCGGGCAAAGAGTTAAAATGTAGTAGATGCCAACAGTATGGTCACAACCGTAGAACATGTAGACAACCTATTGCGGACTAGATATATTCTACGCTATACTTTTGGATAGAAGACATGCTATACTTTTGGACAGGTTAACATGATATACTTTTGGGTGATATACGTTTGTCATGTAAGACATGTTATACATGTGGATACATTTGGATGTAAAATGTGCTATACTTATGA